GCTCTGACCCCTGGAGCAGGAGCAGGAGCAGGAGCAGGTGGAGGGGTCCTGCTCCTCTTTGGTGCCTTCTGGCTCTGTGAGAGTCACACTCCACTTTTTAAGTGCCTGGTACTGAAAAGAGGAAGCTCAAGAGTGATGGTGCCCACCTGCTAAAACAAACACACACAAACCCCAGAAAAGGTCATTTTTCTTACCAATCCATTCCTGTTTCTTCCCTGCCCCCCATCTTCTTGACCATGAACCAGTGGGTGCCATCAGCCTTTGATGCATGGCTGGTGTGCAGGCACAGCCCAGCTGGTCACTGGCCATATCCAGGGATTCCAGGCACTGCCCTGCTCAGAGACTTCAGGACCACCACAGTGGCTTTGACAGAAGACCAGATTATTTCTGTGATTCTGTAACTACAGCTTTAAAACAAAACCAAACCCAAAAGAACAAGAAACTGGCAAAAAAGGAATCCATATTTTCTCTGTCTCCCCTTTTGCTGAGGCGTGAGGCTGGAGGGGAAGGGCACGAGCAGCTGCTTGATGTGGCTGTGGAGGAGTGGGGAGGGAAACTTCTGCAGTCCTGACCTGAGGTCGGTCAGAAATCACCAGCTGGAGTGACATGAGTGTGAACCTGGTTGAAGTGACAGGCAGCTCAGCCCCTGGGACTCTATTTACATATGTTTAAAGCAAACAAAAGAAAGCTGCCTTTGTTCCCTAGGAAAATCTATTTACTTGGCATTCAACTCGTGTATAAGCTGGAACTTCTTACACAGAAGTAGAAACAAAGCGACTGACATTTCTGCTTTGATGTGAGGCTGCAGCTAAGATTTGATTTTGAAATATGAGAGTAAACTGAAACTACCTCCAATTTAAAGGTGGATTTTTAATGACCTTAAAAGTTTTGAGAAGTTTTTTTTTCTTCTTCCCTTAGGGACTAGAAAAAATTATAACAGTAATCTTACTCATAGCTGTAAGTCTACAGAGACAGTGGCTGTAGGTTAATGAAAAATTGACACTGCTACTTGCTGTGCTTCCAGCAGAATATTTTTTTACTTCAAACTGAAGTGAACTATTGCACTGTGTGAGCTGGTTATGAGTCTCACATATTAAACTGGATGCTGCTTTTGTGGAAGCCAGAGGAGCAAGTCACAGAACAGCATTTCTGGTTGGAACATATGCTGAAGTAATTATCGGGTTCTTAAAATGGTTGCCCTGGTCCTTCCCACTGAAATAAAGAAATAAAGAATTAAAGAAATGAAGAATTAAAGATTGCTGGGTTAGTCTAAACCAGAGAGGGGCAGAGGAGCCATTCCCAATGATCTCCATCTCAGTGCTGTCAAGCAGCCCCACCACAGTCCAGCAGGGAAAGCCTAGAGCAGGAATTGGGTGTTGTGTGTGCAGATGCTCCTGTTTTGCACTGTTCCACCCTGCTCCTGTGGCACAGGGACTCCCCGGGGACTCCCTGTGGTTCACAGTTGTTCAAGTGCCCTCTGCAGTTTTTTTGGGAACAGCTTGTTCCTGGGAATCAGAAATGGCACCAGCTCGGCAGCTCAGGCTGACTTTGCTTCGGGCTCTGAGGACAGAGTGACTGTGTGTTGTCCTTGGCATGGTGGTGCCATCTGGGCCTGCTTGGACAGCAGGGCTGTGATCCTGCACTGCCTGAAATTCCAGCTCCTGCTGGTGAGATCTTGGGCTCTGCTGGAATGGCAGCACTGGCAGCTGGGTGCCAGCCTGTGGCAGATGGAACAGCTTCAACCACCCCCGTGAGCTCTGCTGGAGATGGACACACAGAGGTGTTGGGATTGCTGTGAGACAAAGGGAGGGAAGGCATGAAGCTGGCTTCAGGTGTGATACAGCATCCCAAGGCTGGAATTAAAGAGACACTGGATGTCTATAGGGCTCCCTGCTCCCCTGGAAGGATTTTAGACCCATAGACCCATACCAGTAACAGTAGGAAGGGAATTCCCATAGGTTCTTTCCAATAGGTATAATTATTACTATTATTATTATCATCATCGTCATTTTTATTTTTATTTCTATTTTTATTTTTATTTTGTTATTTTACTCAAAAGACAGGAAGGGAAAATCAGACAAGAGTGCAGAAGAAAGGAAACTAAACCATGCAAATTTAGTGAGTTTGTTTCTTTTCCTCCTGGGGAGCAAAAGTACAGAAGGGTGCTGGCACTCAGCCCACCCGTGCCCTCCTCTCCCTGAGAGCCCACCAGCTGTACCCTGATGGAGTTCCCTTCTGCAGGAACATAGGGAGGGCAGTGCTCCCTGCAGGAATGAGAGCTGGGATCCTGGTTAGGACCCCTTTAACTCAGGAACAGGGACCTCCAGCTGCAATTCCCCTGGGCAGGTGCCCATCTGTTCATGCCAGAGATGCTGTGGATGCCTCTCCCTCCTTGTCCCAGAACTCCAGCGCAAGGAACCAGAGAATTCACAGTGCCCTGTTTGCTCACTCTCCACCCTGCTGAAATGCCTGTGGTTTGATTCTTTTTCTTTGTAATAAACTGTGCCCACCACAGCGTATATTCTTTTAAATAACATTTTAAAATATTTTCCAGTAAATTAAAGTGATGACATGTTTGTAGGGCTCATTGTTAATTTCATTTCCTTTGGCTCAGCCAGCCAGATAAAATGCAATGTTATTAATCTTTGTTTAAAAGAAGATCCTTTGCCGAACAGTAATAAATGATCTTGATAGATTTGTCAGGAAAATGAATGATAATCATTTGCAGATAGACACAAGCCTAGTATGGAAGATTAATAAGAAAATATGTATTGGCATCATTAATAACATCTGCTGCCAATGCACTTGGATATTGGTTACAGCCTGAGAGCAATGTGTTCTTGTTAGGACACCACAACTCATCCCCTGCTGCACAACCAGCCTGCACAGTGCTCCTGTTCAGCTGGAGCTCCATTTTTTGATTGATTTGGTTTTAATTTTTTTTTTTTTTAGCTAATTACATTGTTTTCCTAGAAAACACAAGCAAAGGTCAAGATGTTTTGAGACAACTTTGCTTTATTTCAATCAAACCTCTCAGACTTCCCCTCCCCAACCATTCCTTTCCCTTTTGTTTCACTTCAGTGCTTCAAAGCAGAGTAGTGAAGTCAAATAAGCTTACCCATGAAATGTGCTCCTCCTGGGAGCACAGCTGGCTGCATCTGGCAGTGTGGGTGTCTCCACTCCTTCTCAGAGCCAAGCTCAGAGATGCAGTCACAGCTCTCAAAGTGCATTATTTTGTTTAACCAAATAATCAGCATTAACAAAATAATCAGCATTATTATTTTAAATTAAAAGTTACCTTCAAGGATCCGTGGGGTGAGATGAGAAGAACTCATCACATAACCAAAGATCAAAAATATTTTGTCATTTAAAAAAAATAGGCTTAGTAAAAATCTGTTCTGCTCTCTGCAAAACGGAATGTTTCTTAGGGGAAAAAAAATAATCTAAAATGTTTTAAAAGCTGCCCTAGTTTTCCTCATCCTGCTTGGTGTTGCTTTCCCATGCTTTAAGGGGATGTGTGGTCCAAAAAAGCCAATAAAGCTGAGGGTCTCTGTGGCCCAGGGTGAGGAGGTGAGAGCTCTGGTATTTCTAAATGCACTAAAAATGTACCTATTATTACTAGACATTTGGCAGCTATTAATCACTGCTGGTAACTTGATTTTCTCTAAATGTTTTGAGGCCACCCTCTAATCTGGGCACTGCCTGCTTGAAACTGAGTATTGGAAAGGCAAGACCAGCTCTGTGTCGCGTCCCTCTTCCCGTAGGATGGATGGGCAGCTCGTGGTGCTGAGCTCCCTTGTTCAAAGAAATCTACTTTTTCCTCTTAGAATGAGCAAATGCTTGTACTGACCTGCATGAGGCCATCACAGACCCCATCCAGCTCCATCCAAACTGAGGGAAATCGTGGCCCAACTTTCCTGTGCCTGGTGGAAACAGAGCTTTGTTTCTTCCCTCCTTGCTGGCTCATGACTCATTTTCTTCATCTTTATGGTTCTGTGCTCCTCTGTGTGCCCTAACCTCCCCATGGTGACTTGGACCTGCCCTTTGCATGCAGGGTCACATCCCTGTGGGCATTTTCAGCCTTCTCCAGGCACAGATCTTAACAGTGGGTGCTGCTGTCTCTTTGTGGCTTCAAAGATTTTGGCTGTGCCATGTTACGTGGAGGCACCAAGATGGGTCAGAAAAGCCCAAACTTGCTCAAGTGAGATCCTGATCCAGGCCCCAAGGAAGGATATTTATTTTCCCTGCCACAGCCAGGTCACTGTGATCCCAGGGAGCCCTTTGTGTGTCAGAGCAGGACAGATGACCACAATAACCCAGAGTCAGGACTGGCTTGGTTACCCAGGCACATTTATTGCTGGAAATGCTGTTAAGGGGCAGCATCAGCCCTGTGAGCAAACAGGCTCAGGCAGGCTGGGGTAAGCCCAGCCCTCGTGCAGCACAGGGGGCAGAATGGGGGGCTTGGGGAGCAGGAAGAAGCCCCCTGTACCCACTGCTGATGCCATGGAGGGGTGGGGTGGAGTGGGGTGAGAGGGGTCTCACACAGGTTGTGGGGAGGCTGTGGGAGCCATGGTTGTCACCGCTGAGTTAATCCAGTGGTCCCCAACTGATCCAATCTGAATTTTGGCCATATAAAAAACCACAGCTGGTGTTTAGATCTCCTTCTCCTAAGCCCAGCAGTGCAAAGCCAGCCCTGAGAGAGTCCCCAGCCATGCCACAGCTGGGCTTTCCAAAACCTTTGCTCCTCACTGGGCTCAGCTCTGCACCCATAAACTTGACCCCAAACCTTCTGACTTGTCCCACATGCTATCCCACATGTCCCCTGTGTCCCAAATGTGACCAGTGCTGAGTTTTGGCCACCCCTCGTGGACAAACTGAGCCCCACAGTCGTTCCCAGCAAGCAGTGCCTCCAGGGAAGGGCTGTGTGCTCTGTCACCTGCTGCTCCCAGCTTAAGACAGGAGATGAGAGCAATCAAAGCCACGCCATTCCTGACCCCAGCTCAGCCAAAATATGCCCACAGGAAGATGTTGGTGGCCATCAGGAGAATGGCACTAATATCACACACAATCCTCCACCGGGGCTCCTCCTCAATGCTGGTGAGCCTGTGCTCCAGGGCAGCTCTCTCCTCCTGGGACAGGGTGGGCGTGGGGCCCGTGGGCAGACCACAGAACCACATGTACACCGTTTTCCACCAGGGACGTTTGGCTGCTGCAAGAAAGAGACCAAAATGTGGCTGTTGGAATCTACTGGGACTCTTCCCTCCCCTCTCCCAGTCTTTTGGAGGTGCACTGGCCAGTCTGGAGTGGGGCTTGAGAGGGACCTTGCATGGGAGATGCAAGATGATGGAAGAAGGAAAAAGGAAAAGGGGAAAGGAGAAAAGGAGACACAGAAAGAAAAGGAGAAGGAATAGGAGAAAAGGAATAGGAAAAGAGGAAAGGGAAAGAGGAAAAGGAAAGAGGAAAAGGAGGAGAAGGAAGAGAAGGAGAAGGAAAAACCTTCTCCCTAGACTATGTACGGCACAGCCTGATTGCAGAGGGTTGATTGCACCACTCACTTATGAGTTAATTAACAAACCTCTTCCCCCTCCTCCCCAGCCCAGATTCCATCCGCTTTTAAAATTCCTGACAGCATGATGGTCCATTTAGAGAGATCCCAGCTTGTTTATTACACATGGCATGTCAGGTGAAGTGTGTGTTTTAATTGTCAGTCCTGTGCTGTGTGTATTTCACTCGCTGTTCTTTCCAAATATAACCTTTTTTGAAATACAGGATGTTATAGGGCCTTGAAAAAAGGTGTTACCCAAAAAAAAAAAACCCTCATTAAACTGTCAACTGCTGTGTTTCACATTTCCTTCCTCATCTTTGCTAATTACCAAAATACCAAGATATTTGTTTATAAAAATCTGAGCTAGTAAATTGAACTAGGAATTGATAAGAAATAAGAAGTAATGCTGAACAACTGCATTCAACTTCAACCCAAATTTACTCTATAGGGGAAGAAAAAAGCAAGGGACTTGTTTAGATGTTCACTTCTATTTAGCCTGGCTGTGACTGGATCCAGTGTCATTTGGACTGACCAGCAAATGGAAGAAGTGAAGAAATCTTGTGTGCCTCTTTATTCTGAGGTTCCTGCTCTGTAACCTTCGAAAGTGAAGCTAAAAACCAGAAAACTGCATTTTTAATAGATTTGCAGAATAAAGCTCTGTCCATTCTGAAAATAACTAGACTATGTAGCATCTCCTGCTACTGTTGTGTCTCCTGACAACTCCTTAAGCTCATTTTGCTCTGCTTTCCTTCCTATTAAATACCTCTGGTAGGACACAGAGCTATTTAAGGTCTGAGTTTTAACCATGGCTTGCATCCTAAGGGAAGATGAAAAGATCCTGTTGGCATCATGGAAATGAGAAAAGTGAGGCCTGTGGGTTCATTCTAGGGCATCCACAAAGTGCACATGTCTGCTCCCAGGGTCTCTTGGTCCCCTCAGTCTGTGCTGCTATTTTGGTGCTCTTTTTTCAGGGATGGCAGCTCTTCTGAGCCATTCAGAGGGATGTGACATGGAGGTATGTTGGGAGGACCAAGAGCCACAACTTTCATTTGTCAGCTCCTTAAAAGTGTAAATACAAGCCCAAGTTCCAATGAATGCACCAGGTGGCCCCTCATGCACTTTGGGGATTTTTATGGGATTCTGGCCGTGCACTCCCAGTCACGTGAGGGTGTTTGTGCACAGACAGAGCCCTACCTGCCTCCTCCTTGTCATCTGAAGCTGCAGTTTCCACCAGGTCCTTCTCACTCTGTTCGGGGTCGGGCTGTGCTGCTTCACTGTTTTCCAGGTTTATGGCAGGTGCTTTTTTGTGCCTGGTCCACCACATGAGGCCGTCCAGCTGCAAAGTGGAACAGAGAGAATGTGGTCACTGCCTGTCTGTCCCGGTGTGACCACCCACACATCTCCCTTCCTGGCAGGCACAGGTCCAAGGTGATGCTGAGTCCCGGTTGGGATGATCTCCCACTTTCCCTCCCTTCCTTCCTGCACAGGTGCCCACACCCTGGGTAAGAAGGTTGGCACCATCCAGCTGGTGTTGAAAAGCTGAGAAAAAATGTGAAATAATCTGGTTTCTCGCCTTCCATTTTTTAAAAGAGCTTGTTCTGTCCCTGTCTCTGAGGAGTAACCCTTTAGTAGACATTGGAGAAGCAGCTTCCTATTAGCAAGGCTCATGTGATTGATCTGAAATAGTGATGGTCTGCATCCAGAATGGCAGCCCTCCAATAGAGAAGGGTAATAAAGTCAAATAAATAAAAATAAATCAAAAAAGAAGCCAAGACACCCTCTCTGGATACAGTCAGTCACAAACAGCTGTTATGCTCTTAGAAGATTTTTTTTTTTAATTCCAGATTTCTCTGATGGGCCAGTACAAGACATTGCCTGTCTCTGCAGAAAGTCACAAAGAACAATCAGTCTGCTTTACAAATCCCCAGGTTCTGGAACTCTTATCCCAGAGCAAGCCTGAAAGTCTCCCTGGAGCACAGGGAGTGCACAGGAGACATCAATCTCACAAACCTCAGTGGCCCTTTGGCAGCTGTTGGGGGGCCACACACCCCAGGGCTCAGAGATTTGGGGTTAAGCCAGGCTGGCCGCTGCTGTGGCTGACCTTGGCATGCCCAGGATCTCGGTGGCTCTTCCTGACCCCTGCCCTGGACAGGCCAGGCAGCAGGGACAGGCTCATCCATCCCTCCCAAAGGCAGCTGCCAGCTCCAGCGGCTGCCCTCCCCCTCCAGCCCACGCTGCTTGGCAGAGGGGCACAGGGGGGACAGTGCAGGGCTGCCGTGGTGACAGCAGGGCAGGCAAAGTCACACACGTGCCCCAGGAGCAGCTGCCTCCCTGCTCTGCCCGTATGGAAATGAACCTCCCCAACGGGTCACTTACAAAGTAACGTGAGTTTAATTTTGCACACACAAATTCAGGCAGAAGCTTTCAGCTGACACAGAATGTTGCATAATTTCCAGAAGATTTATAGCTTTATTTAAATCATTTTCAACCAAGATGAGCATTGGGCAGGGCTAATCTTTCTTGTCATGAAGTGCTAAATTGCTTTGATTTGATGATCCTCATCTTTCTCGGGGATTCTTTTTTTTTTAATCACTTAGGAAATGTCACTGGAACATAGTAAAGTTTCAGGGTACTAAAGGAGTTCCAAAACTTTTTTCCTTTTCTCTCCTCATGTGTCACTAAACCACTGTCTCTACACATTGCAGCAAAATCTTCGAGAGCTGGGGTGTACCTGGGGCTTGGATTCCACCAGAGGGATGCAATTCCCAATGGAAAGCAGCACAGACACAGGCAACCTCATGGCATCACCCCTCTGACCCACCCAGGAGCTGGTACCTCTGCCATGGCCAATAAAGCAAACCACCACCCTGGAGAGCTCCACCCCAGCCCTGCAGCTTTGAGCTCGGGTGGGTTTGGGCTGGCTGCATCCCTCGAGATCCCCCTTTCTGCTCTTTGCCACTGCTGGGGGGCACAGCAGCAGCTCTGTGTGGCCATGGAGGCCTCCACGAGGCTGGCTGGGCTTGCCTGGCACAGCCTCCCAAAGGGATAGGGAGGGGAGGCAGGTGGTGGCAGTGCCTGGAGAAAGCAGGAAAATACTTCACTACAAATTGCCTGCAGAGAGCTGTGTCAGCTTTACTGACTGGGACCTTGGAAGCGCTGCCTGAGGTCACCCTGTCCAAGGGCAGGGGAGCAGGAGGGAGCCTTGTGCTGGGTCCTGGGGAGCCCTGTGGCTCTGCCCCCATCTGCAGAGTCACTGCTGGGGGAGCTGTGTCCCCCCTTAGCTTGCTCCTGTCAGCACCCACAGAACTGAGTGTGTCTGGCTCTTAGTGCCACCAAGTGATGCTGCTTTGTGGGCTCTTCCCCTCCCTTTTCTCCCTCACAGTCTCCTTGGGCAAGGGAGTTTGCAAGAACTCAGCAAAGTTTTCCTTTTGTTGTTTGTAAACTAGAATAAATCCTTCTGTTCCAAAATGCCATCTGGCACCTGACAGTTGTGTTTCAGCTTCACAGTCTCAAATTTAATTGTAAGCTCTTTTGCAGGGTTCTCAAGGACGGCCTGACACAATATGGACTACCTACAATGAAGACATATGAACTCTGGAGCATACCAAACAAATTCCTTGCATACTTGTTTTCCAGCACAGCATCAATCACCACAGGGATGGGAGAGTGTCCAAAACAGCAGGAGAAAATGCTACAGCTTGCAGTTCTCAGATTGTAATTCATTTAAAGCCAGGAACATTAGCTCTACCACTCTAACATCAGATACAAATCTCTTTTCTCCTTTTGCCCATTTACTATCTCAAAAGCATTGAGATTCAATATTTAAAGTTGTCCAGTGTAGATCCTCAGCTGGTGCAAAGTGACATAACTGTGCTCAACAGCTGTTCCTGGTCTTTGAAGGCAATGGAGCTGTGGTGATTTACATCTGCTGAGGTACGATCTATCACTGTATTTCCTCAGCTTTGTCTTTGCTGGCTTGTTTTTCTACTCTTTTTGCTTGACAAAACAAATGACACAATTCCTAGCTCTTGTACCAACTCTTTCATCATTCCTTTCCCAAGCACTGCAGTTAAGGATGAGCAGAACCAGCCCCATGTGATTCTTAGGGAGAAATACCCGAGGCTCAGGAAGGGAATTGATTAACCAGGAAGCACCAGAGCTCCAGAGGTCCTCATGCAGGACACCCAGCACAGTGTCCCCCTCACAGCCACTGTCACAGGGACACTCAGGCTCTTCACCACAGGTTTGCCCATGTGCATGCCAAGTCAGTAATGGCCAAACACAAAGACCAAGCGCCACTTTCTACCCAGACAGTCAGAGCCTGGCACATTCGCCCTGACCTCCACCTCCTGCCCTTCCTTCCCCAAACACTTCTGGGCCTGAGCCAGCACAGCACAGCCACAGACTAGCTGGAGATGAGGGGGCAAACCATGAGAAACCATGTCATCAGAAGTGATGGTCCAAACCCACACCTCTGCTCATGTCTAGGGAAAGCCTGGGCTGAATCTGACGCAGGAAAATGAAAAATTTTGGTCCCAGTGTTGCCCACTCAGATTCCTGCCAGGCAGAAACCCAGCAGTGTTGTCTCCTACTTCAGTTAAACCCCACACCTTCCTTTGGCTGTTCTCTGAGGAACAAGGGCAGACCTTTCCTGTTGAAATCAGGGATAAATAGTAGAAACTGAATGGAATCAGACAAAAGGAAATGAGGACAGACTCTCCCATTCCTACTGAGCTATGGAAAGAGGGGATGAGCTACTGCTTAGTGGCATGAATTTCCTGGCTGTCCATCCCATTTTCCTTGTGGTGGGAACATACTGAGGGGCAGGGGGCACATGGGATGGTCATCACAAATACCAGATGATTGATCTGGGTCTCTGTGTCCAGCCTTTCAGTGCCTCAGGCAGTATCATTAATTCTCATTCATTTTCTACAACAGAATCTCTTACACAGGGGTCAAGCACTGAGCTCAGCACTATGTGGGGTCCATGGCATACCAAAAGGCTATCCTGAGCATCTCTATTGAAAAAATTTAGCCCAAAAAGCGCAGCTGATGTTAGTTCCTGGCCAGTGCTGCCCTTCAGCAAGCTCTCCTCCCTCCCTGGCTCTCCAGAGGTATCTGAGGCAGGGCAGCCACCACTTCTCATCCTTTGTTCCTCTGGGATAACTGCACACAGCTGCTTCAGACAGAATCCTGCCCTGCCTGACCATCCCCCTGGATCTTTGAAGAATGTGTTAAATAAGGTCACTTACATCCAGCACCTAAAAACTCACACATTTCAGTAGAAATACCACTGAAAATCTCCCCTGGGGAATCTAAGATCATAAGCTCTCTTTCTCTAATTCTTTTATAGTGGGGTCCATGCTGAAAAGCCCCTCCTGGAAGATACTTGAAATGTTTTCATACCTCTGAGGTCAGACTAAAAACCCTGGAGGTGCTGGGGCCAGTTTTTCCATCTCCTGAACTGCTGGTTTGATGCTCACTGTTCACCAGTGTTGTGTTAATGCATCTTATCTTGCTATTGCTGTGGGCAGGGAGCACTGCACATGTTTAGCTATCACAGGTCAGATGATAAGTGGGAACTCATTAAACCACAGTAATTAATTGCTGGCAACCATCTGGCCACCCCTGAGCAGTCATGAACAACGTAAGCAGCAGAACTAATGGTGCCTCCTTGCCAGTATTTCTCTCTCCCATGTGGATCCTCTGATAGCTAATAAAAGCTGAGAGTTTATCTCCAAGCAGACACAAAGCCAGCCTCTCTCCCCCCTCTTCTCCCCTATCTGAGCACCTGCTTTCATGTAATCTTCAGGAGCGGGGTCTCTTTGACACCTATAACATTCCATCAAACATCGATGGAGCTGGTTAATGCTTTTCAAGTTATGAGGAAGCAACAGATTGATGCCATCACAGTATTTTCTCTCTCATGTAGTTAGACAGGAAAAAATAGGTCTTTTTAATCTATCCAGTAACCTTTGCTGAGAGGTAGATGGCAGTTTTTGTTATATTGGCAGCTGCTTTAAACCTTGGGACTGGGAAGAGTTGCTTTAAGGTTTTGTAATATAAAACCTCCGAGCTCTGCACCACTTTAATGTGCTAAGTAAAAGAAAGTTGCGCTTCCCTCAAAGTTATTAAATTTAATTGAGATCACATTGGGACAAAATGTTATTTTCCTAAATGCCCATGTTGCAAAAGATATTAATCTTGTTTGCCTGCAAGATTGATGCTGGGTCTGCTGAAGCAGGCTAGATGCTACAATTAGATGTATTTAATTCCTCCTCAGCAGTGCTCTGTAATGTGATTTCATCTCCTTCCCCTTCTTCTTTTCTTTCCATTGCAGTTATGATGGGCTGTGGTGTCTGCCCAGCTCTGGGCACAGCATGGGAACTCACACTCAATTTGAAGCACTCAGTGCTCAGCAGCATTAACACTCTGTGGTCTGGGGAATAAGAGAGCTGAGGAGCAAGGGCTTCCTGGCAGCATATGCATTACACACAATTTCCTAGCCCCTGCAGGAGCAGGAAAGGGCAGATCTCAGGGATTTTGGTATCCAAACGGGGGCTCTGGGAAAAGGGTGATGCTGCAAGGCACTTACCTTTTCTTCAGGTATCACTGGGGTGCAGAGGCTGATGAGGATGATGACAATGGCAGTGAGGGCAAAGAGGATGAGGGCAAAGTAGAGGTAGTGCACATCCTTTAGCACAGCTGGTCTCTTGTCCTCCTCCCCACAGGACGGGGCACTATAACTAAACTCCATGATCATCCGAACCAGACCAACAACAAAGCCAGCCATGAGGCCCCAGAAAGCACCCTGAGAAAAGGCAAGCACAGAGAAAAGGTCACTGCAAATTACCTCTGGTTGTAGCTCTCCCTCTCCTCTCCCTCTTTCCCAAGACTTTTTACACCTGGTGGAAATCCACACTGAGGTGCATCAAAGGAGAATTTTTTTCAGGAAAAAATCCTCATTTTCTCTCATTGCCCTTGAACATGGAGCACACAGAGCACAAACAGTGTGAGAATCTCCTCCTAACAACACTCCTCCAATGAGCCTTTGACACATCATCCCTAAATGGCAAAACAACTTCCTCTCCATGCTTTCAAATGGGACTGCCAAAAAGTACCACTTGCAGTGACTTCTTAGAAGCAAACCCACACCCACTGGAGACTGGAGATCCACTAAGGCATGCCAGGAAAGGCTGTCTCATTGTCTCTCCTGAGCTGGACTGGCTCTGAGTTTAAACAGTCTCAAAGGCTAAGTACTGAGGGAAGAGATATCTGTTTATTTTATCAAATTAAATACATGTATCAATTGGCTGTTGACACTTCACTTACAGGCTCATTAACCCTCTTGCAGAAGATTGCCAAGATGAAGAGGGCTGCAATTGGTGGGCTCAGATAGCTGCCTATGGACTGAATATAGTCAAAGAGCTTTCCACTGTTGGCTGACTGAACCATTGGGATCCAGAGAATGCTGATGACCACAAGGATGAGGGTGAAGACTCTGAAAGAGAAGGATAAAATTGTATTAACTCTGTAGGTAGATTTGCAGCAAAACACACTCCCAGTTTCTCTTGGAATTTTCTAAGAAAAATCCACAGATCACTCTCAAGAACTTTTCCTTGTGTATACAGGAAAAGAAAAAATTGTTTTCCTGATGTGAGCCTGGTGTGCCCTAAAGTGTGACATGGTCTTCAGTGACCTTGCTCTTGGATATGACAGAAAGAGGGAGCTGGTAGCTTGTGGAAGCAATCTTTCTGCCACCTTTCCAGGCAGGTAATGTGCTCAGTCTCTTGCCTTTGCCAAATTCTATCTCGTTTGCTACTTATTAGAATTGTGTTTGGGGTCTCAGGTGAATATTGTAACCTTCCTCTGCCTTTGCACTGTGTGCCACAGAGGTTTGTCCATAGTGCTGAACAAGAGGTCCTCGTCCTCTACCCACTCTGCTATGGTGAAGTGTGAGTTTGCCTGCAGATTCAGCCACGTCTCAGCAAAGTTTAGACTTAATGCTCATGACTGGAGAGCAAAACCTCCACACTGAATGCAGCCTAAATTCCCCTGTCTGGAGGAGAACTTTATATGCCCCTGATAGAACACAGCACCAAAGCTCATCTGCAGAGGACACTACAACTTATCACAGAGACAGAGCTGGGAGGCTCAGCTATGCACTTTTCCCTGAAGAAAAAATTATTAGAAAAAAAAGAAGTAATTGCAACCTATCACTCCTGTCTGATACAAAAATAACATTTTTATAGACCTCTGGTGACAATGACTCAAGAGCACTTTCGGCTTTTCTAAAAGTTACGTTTAAAGCAGTATTTATAATAAGTTCAGCGAGAAGAAAGACAATTATCTGCTTAGCTCAGTGGAACACACAGAGTTTCTCCTTGACCAGGCCTATCCAAGAATAAAGCTGGAAAACACAACGCTCTTTCCCAAGCTGGCACCAGATTTTTCTCAGTAATTCCAGCCTGGGGGATGTAAAAACTGCTCTCAGAACAGATGATGAGAGGAACGAGACATAAATAAATGCAAGGACCTGCCCACAATCATCAGCTCCTGCTCGGAGGCCTGCCTGCGGACACGCTGCCAGATGTCCACCACGAAGAGGGTGCTGCTGCTGTTGAAAACGGAGGTGAGGGAACTCATCAGAGCTGCCATCATCACTGCAATCATCAAACCCCGGAGCCCTGCGGGAGACAAACACAGAAGGGGAATCAGGACTGAGCCTTGGGCCTCTGAGTGCTGTTTTTTCCATCCTGCTCTCTGGTATCTGCAGTGAGATTTCCACATCCTTCGGATGGGTGAGGGCAGCCTGATCCCCCCGTGCAGAGCCTGGCTCAAGCCCAGCCCCACAAAGGTGTTCCTCACCGTCAGGCATGAGTTCAATGACCAGTTTGGGATAGGCAATGTTGGAACAACCCACAGCAGCTCCACAGATCCTTTTGCAGACCTCTGGGTCCACGCAGGCCACTTCATCTGGGGAACACAGGGAAACAACAAGGAGTCAGTGCAAACCCCACTGAGCCATTGGTTGTTCGGATCAAGGGAACAAATCCTGATGCCTTGTGCAGTTTCATATAAATTCAGAGGTGGAATACAGCTACAATGAGTGGAGCTGGAAAATGCTTTATATCATATAATAGAGGTGAAAGTTTGAGATGACATTTTCAAATTCTGTTCAGGATACAGCTGAAACTCTCCTGGGTGTTGCATAACTGTAATCCTTGATGATTTGTCACTTGTGGGAACTGGACTGTTTCCATGAAGCTGTCAGCTGGGTTCCCAGGGATGCTGGAGGCTCACTCACTCCTATTTAGAAAATTTGGGTAATAGGCTCTTTCCTCTGGGAGTGGTCCTTCTAACCAACTGATTCTTCCTGGAAAGGAGAAGGCTCTGGAGAAACCAGCAAAGAGAGCTCCTTGGGACTTAAGGGATGCTGGTTTAGCCTAATCCACCAGGTCCTAAATGAATCTGTGTGGGAGTTTGCTAAAACATTCCAAAATACCTAATGGATGCAATCCATAGTATCTGAAGGACAACCTCAGTGCTCCATGAATTTAATTTCACTGACTCCCTCCAGACAGACAGATGAATACAATGTCCACACCATGGAGTTATATGCCCCCAATGGCAAAGTATGCCCCTTTTGGCTACTCCTGGGGATTTCTGCCACTGTGGGAGAACTGGAGATGAAGGGAGGGCTTGGGAACACCATGGTGCAACAGAAATCTCTATGAACATGCCTGCAGGACAGCAGTCTCTAGGATGCAAATTGCTGGCAGACCTGTGTGGTATTAGTGGTCACAGCAGGTATGGAGCCCCGTGTCAAGGAAGATGGGAAGGCTTACCTGGGAAAAGAGCTCTGCTGATCATTCCTGGCATGACAAGGAAAAACACAGGGAAGAGTTTCAGATATCCTGCCAGCACTGATCCACCTTTGGCATGGGAGAGGTTCTTGGCAGAGAGGGACCTCTGGACCATCACCTGCAACCAGTGCAGAAAGGGAGCAGAGAATGAAGCAGAAGCACAGCAGAGAGAGCAGGATCCATTCTCTCTGCCTCTGCTTCTCAGGGATGACTTTCATCCCGCAGGATCCCAGGGTGTTTTTCATGCCAAGGACAACTTTCCCACCTCACTGACTGCAGCCTGCTGCCACCACTCAGAGCTCAGTCCACAGGCTACAGGAGAGGGCAGTGTGGAAATTTCCTTTACAGGAATAATTTCACCCTTGACTGAAATGAAGCCACCTTGAGGGCTGGAGACAGCAGCTGTATGGCAGCAAGAGACACGGAGTGAAGCAGACTGTGGGTGTCTTGGTAAAAGTTCAGTGGTGAGGTTTCATAATTATCCCACCTGAAAGTACAGCAGCACCATGTCTCGAGGAACACACTCAGCTTTCCTTGTTTGTAGTTTGAAAAGTAATAAGGGACATGAGACATCTGGGAATATGAATGGAGGAATATTGTCTGGAGGTCTACTCAAGGTCACAGCACAGCCAGCTCCAGATTCACATTTTTATATCCTTGTCATGCTAACTGTGTGAAGACTCCCAGTACTCACCAGCCCACAGTGGGATAAAGATGGATGAAAACAACCTGTTCTCACTGCACTAAGAAGTGCATAAAATTAGCAGCTTGCTGAGAAGGTGGAAGGAGTGAGACATTCTGGTCTAGACCAGTAAAAAAAAGTAGCAACTCCTGCACACTGAGGCGCAGTGATTTTTTAGCTTATAGATCCACAGACTGAGGAATGGACTGAAAATAACACTGTGGTGGTTTGTCTGCTGAGGGAAAGATTTTATTTACCTGGTCAGTGCACCAGCACCAAAGAGCCACCACAGTGAGACCAAATACAAGGCCAGGCCAGGGAAGGTCTCCTGTGATGGGATCCCTGAACAAATGAAAGGCATCTGCACGTGGGAGGTGACAGTCTGTGTTTGGGACCGTGATCTTTGGTATTGCTGCGCTGTATTTCTCCTTAAGTCCTTCATACCAGCCAACCTTTTCAAATCCTGTAAAGAAAATGCCACTGATTTAAGGGCTGTTGCATCATGCATAGTTATTATCTAATCAGTCTCGTGATTACTTTTCTTTTATCTTCCTCTTATTTCTTTTACTTTTCATTCCACCCTTGCTTTTTGCAGTCAAAGTTTCTACAGAAGTCAGCTGGATTTTGCCCAGAGTCCTTGTGGTTTAAACAGTACATTCTGGAAGAGGATCAATGCAGGAAAACCTCCACGATCCTCGTCCCTGCAATGTCATCAGCATCTATTTTTTACTTATACACCCTCCAAACGCTAGAGCAGGAAATTATAACATGAAAAAAATATATATACCTAGTTTAGATATTTCTGTTTGCCAAGAAGGCTTAAAACAAAGACTGATTATTGTAATTTCCTTGTCACTTTTTATTTTTTTATAACGCTCAGTTGCACCGACATGAACTCCAAAAGTCAACACTGGAAGTCAGCAGGGTTACTCTGAATTGACATGGGCTTAATGAGAGCTGAATTTGGCTCTGAGAATGTGATGTTCCAAAGTTCTTTGGCAACTCCAGTGAGGTGAAGATAACCAGAGCCTCACCTCCATACAGTTAGTGCAATGGATGAAGAAAGTATGATGGCTTGGAGAATGAGACTTGTGCTGGCACCACTTCTGTGAGTGGTTCAAACTAATTTCTGCACCACACATGAAAGGGTGAGGCACCCTGCTAAGGTCTAGTGGCCTTGGGACCACTAAAGTGCTGTGTGGTGCCACTGCAGGTTCCCCTTACCTATGAACATGAGGACCAAAGCTCCTAGCACCATGATCAGGGTCTGCAGCACGTCTGTGTAAATCACAGCAGTCAAACCCCCTGCCAGGAGAACCAGAGACAGCAGTCAGTGTATCACCCTACACAGGGAAACAGGAACCTCACCTGGAAAAAAGCTTTCTTTAGCCCCAGCCCTGGGATTTCAGGACACACCCACTGGGAGAAGCTGGCACTGAGCAGGTCCTCTGGAGCCCACAGCTGTCACAAGCCCTCCCATGAGGAACAGCGTGGAAGGTTTTCCATGTTCATGAGAGAACTTGGAGGCAGCTCAGCATCTTAACAGCTAAAGTTGCTAATTTTGCAGAAAGGGAACAAAATAGCAAATATGGGCAGTGGTAACTTCCTGCACAGAGAGAGTCCAGAGTCTTGTGTAGTATTAGAAAATCCTCTGAAAACAGTAATATTCCCCCTTTACCACTTTTCCGTGGGCCAAGATGGGAGAGGGGAAGAGTCAAAGGTCTCCAACAGCTGGGAGTGACAAGGCAGGTACTACCAGCAACTGGGGCAATCTTTCCCTCAGACCAGCACCCGAATACTCTTTCCCCTCTGTAGGAAACGGGAAACTTATGTCCTAGGCTCCAGTTTATAATGTGTCCTTTAAAATCAGCTATTTACCAGCTATGGTGTAGACAGCAGTCACTGCTAGCAGGACCACAGTGGACAAGTAGAGGTTCCAGCCCAAAGCAGTTTGGATGAACAATGCTCCAGCAAAAATGTCTGTCTGGAATAAAAATACCAAGGGCAGTCTGGTGTTAGTAGTGCTCCGTGCAAGTGAAATCTAATAAAGCAGCCTGCAGCCTTCTGCGGCTGAAAGCACTGACAGGGGAGGACACCAGCAAGGTGAACTGGAAGGGGAGGAGAAGAGCTGTTGGGACTCTTGGCTCTGAACCTTGTTTTGCTGTTAGGAAAAACTTTCCTCCAGGTCAGAGCTTCCAGGATCTGGGAGAGCAACAGGGTGAAAATGAAGGTGCTATGCCAAGGGACTAAAAAGTCATCAAAATAAAGATCATCTTGAGGCATAGAAACCTGGCTGGCACAGAGAAGGACTGGTGTGAGCTGTCACTTCTTTTGGTGACTGTGAACATATCCCTGGATAGCAGAGCCCATGTATCCACAGGCAGACACAGGAGGGAAAGAGGGGGAGATAGCAGAAACCTTGTTCTTCCCAGGGCTGCCTCTTGGTGGCCTCCAGAGACACTCCCTCTTGAAAGACTCCTAAAGAGTCACTGATGTCTTGTACCATGATTGGTTTATCTGAGAAGGTCAACAGGTCGTTTTTCTGTTCATGCAGTTCAGCACATTAGAGTGACTCCAGAAAAACAGATTATACCTGCTGAGGACCTCACTAGAAATACAGAAAGTCCCATCAGCTGTGTTTTGTTTGGATCTTCTGGCAGAGTGACACCAAAAACCGGATGAAAGCTGGAATTACACAGATAACATCATTCAAAATTGCAGAAGGTGTTATGGGAGATGTTTATGCTGGGAAAGTATGGTGGAAGGACACCTGTGAGTGTGGTATGGGGTGAGATACGGGTGAAAACCTCTGACAAGGAAGAGAGAAGGGATGGGGCAAGAATTCCATTTGCTGTATCTGAAATGAGCACCTTAAAAGCGAGGAGCCAGTGCAACCCCTGACCTCTGTGGACCTGAGACATGACAGGCACAGCCAGTACTCCACAGGAATCCCTGCCCCTTCTGGGGTTTGGCTGCCCAGCAGGAAACACAACCACCTCTGTAGCCATGCAGGATCAGTCCTCTGACAACACTCTTTATTGAGATCTCTGTTTTCTTTGCAAGCCAAGAAGACTCTGCAGTGCCCTGGTTGTTGACCTATGTTTGGGCAGAAAGCACAGGGAGAAAAATCCTTCTTGTAACCAAGTGCCTGCTATCCAGCCAGCCACTAAATGAGCTCTCCACAAACAATAGCTCTGCTTAATAGAAAGAACCTGTCATGGCCATAAACTCCCCCAGCCACATCCGTCAGCCACGCGTGAATTGGCTGCACAGAGGAGAAACCACTGAGATGAAACAGCAGTGATGGGGGCCAGGGTCCTGCTCTGAAAAGCACTGGCAAATGCTGCTCTGCTGAAGGTCACTCTGAAAGACAGCTCTGTTTCATACCTTGCCTGTGTGGCTGTGCTCACTGTGGGCTGCTGCAGGAGAGAGTTGCCATTTATCCCTCACAGGTAAAGAGGCTTTAAGTGCCTTTTTGCAAGACCTCACTCACTCTGTCACCCAGGGCTGTGCTCCTGTCCCACAGAGCAAAGATGGAGGCAGTGGTGAGAGCACTGGGTGACATGACCAAGAGCTGCCCATTAGAGGGGGGAATCTATCCCACAGCCTGGAACTCCTCTCAATGCCCCTCTCAGGAGCTGAGACATAATAAGGCTGGGAGAAGGACCTTGATGCCACATGAGTGTTTTATCTCCAGTCAGTGTCTCCCAAGGCAATTTGACATCTGAATATTTCAGAAGGGTCTAGAGAAAACTGGCTTGTACTGACCTTCGAATAATCAGCTGGAGACAAAAGACTGACATCTTCAGTCCCTGAAATGGACTCTCAAATACACTCCTCTCCCTCCAAGGGCACAGGTAGTTCTTAGCAAATATCTCAGCATAACTTTCTGTTTCTTTGTGAATGGCATTCAAAAGGAGGAAATAGTCAGTATACCCAGTGCACTGGGTTTTTGTTATCAGCAGGGTACAATGCTACAAGCAATTCAGAAAAGATGCTGCATTTTGTCTTAAGCTAGAACCTACCTCCCTTTCACTGTACCCTTTTTGTGCAACACAAGTAAAAAAGAAAGAGGAACATCCATAAAATACCTAATGCTGAAAACTCAACTACAAGCACAACAGCAGGTTTATGATAATTTAAGAGAATTTCATCTCTACAAGGTGCAGCCAGCCATATTTTCTCATGGGGTAATGCAGCCCTTCCTCTATCTCTGATGCCTAAGGTTTGATGTGATAGAAGAGGAAAAGCAGGCAGACAGCCCAGGGTACTTACACTGTTTAGTAATTAGTTGCACATCCCTGTAAAGTTCTCACTGTGCATTGCTGTTTAATGAGGGCTCTGTCTCTCTCTTAGGAAAGGTCTCCATGATCAATACAGAGGCAAGAGCAGCACACTAACACACTGCAGCTGCTCCTGGGAGCAGGGCTGGTCCTTTCAAGGAGCTCACTCTGAGCAGCCCTGCCTTGTACGAGGATGCCCTCTCCCTGCCCTAGACAAGAGGGTGGGGTTCAGCTGGGTACATACAGATATCCTGGTGAATATATAGAGAATCAGGGACAGCACGGACGTGTAGATTTGCAGTCTCTGCCCTCCAAACCTCTTCTTCAGGTACTCAGGCAGGGTGACAACTCCTGCTGCGATGTAAACTGGCACGAAGATCCAGCCGAGAGCCAGCAGTGGCCAGATGGCCTGTTAGAGACAGAGAATAAAGGCACAGGATTCAACACATGAGAACAGCTTTCCCCCTGTTCTGTCAGTAGCCATCCTAAGAAAGAAGAAAGGTACAGTGCCATGTGATGTATTGGAGAAGCAGACTGAGTTTTTCTCCCTGCTCAGAAGATGAGCCAGCAGCTGGAGGAATTATTACAATTCAGTCCAAAGCTTTTGAAGATCTCCTCCTAAGGCCTGTATTTCTCTCTGTCATGGGTGTCACTTCCTCTTCCATCCCCTGGTCTTTTGAGCAAGGTGGTGTATGCTGTTGCTCTGGTTCTCTAAAAGATGGTGGTGTATTTGGTGGCCTTTAAAACCACTGATGCTGCGGCAGTGAAGAGTTAAGTGATTCAGAGCAGGATGGGAGCATCTGTTTGTTGCTCGATTAACAAGTGATGAGGCTGAGGCAGCAGACTGTCCCTGCGGAGCATAAAAATAAGCAACAGCAAGACTCTGCTGGGATGTTCTCCTTGCAGGCTGGTGCAGATGTGCTTCTGTCACTGGTAGATAAAGAGGCACTTTAGTTGCTTTGCCACAGGTGAAGAGTCTTTTGGAAAGTGTAAAGGCATTCCTCATGTATTTCTTCTCCAATTCCCAGCAAAAGCCCAAACAGGAGAACTTAAAGGGAAATGAAAGCCATTGGATCATCAAACCTCACCTCCTGGTTATCTCCAGCCATTATCTTTCATCCTTACATTTACTTTGATCAGTTATTTAAGTTTTCAGAAAAAAACCTGATCCCTGTCAGCAGAGATTGTGACTGACTGAGAGCAGCCATGGTTCCTGCAGTGGCACAGACTGGCTGTGGTGAAAGATGCTCATACGATCCCTCCAGCTGAATGATGTCCCATGGCACAGGGGGAGAGTAATGGTATATGTAAGTTCTCTTTCCAATCTGAGATAAATTAATCTGAACTCATGAAGTTGGATTTGCCCTGAAACACAATCTTGTCTTCATGAGCTTCTAAAGTGACTTGAATAGATTTCCTTTGAGTACAGCAATATTATGTCCTACACGCACCAAGCTGAACACAGTCTCTGTTTTCTTCACAAAAGATTTAAAGGTGACTTCAATGTCTAGAAAAAAAACATTGCAGTGAATACATACCCCAGGAGAGAGCTTTTGGTGGGCCCTGCCTGTGCTTGGCACTACTAACGCTCTCTGCTGAGGTAGGCAAGAGATTCAGAGTTAGGTGAGTGATGCTTCTTGTGAGGCTGGCACTAATCCCACTCCTCATCAGCTGAGAAATTTCATTAGCACCACACACCAAGGGCTTGGTTTTCATGCTCTTGTGTGGTGTCAGTGGCAATTTTCCAGACCACTTCAACAGGGCAGAATGAGACCTGCCTTCACACCCAGATGTTCACCCCAGAGGTGCCACCTTCTGGCAGCTGCCAGGTGAAGAGAGTGTTGCTGATTTTCATGGATTTACAGTGAATATGGGAGCACATGCTACTTCTTTTTGGTTTTTTTTTTCAGCTCCCTGCACCCAGAAGAATCCTGTGATTATCCAAGTACCTTTCCAGCATTCATTATCTTTTATTTTAATCTTCACAAGTAAAGACTAAAGCTTAAAAATAAGGCCATGCACCACTGGGAAGGCCAAAGAGCTACTAATCCTAGTGAATTCCAGTTAAACTAAAATAAAGATCTCATGTTTCCAAGGCTGTCGGAATGTCTGCAGGCTTCTCTCCTGAGAGTTGAGCACTTGTTGCTGCTGATACTGTTAAACACCTGATTTTGGAGAGAAACCCCCAATCCCTTTGTAAACAGTGACATCTTAGTCGGCAACAGAACTGGCACTTACATTCCACTCAAAGCCCCCAACAGCAATGCCCCCAGCTGCTGCCGTGCCCGCCAGGCCGATGAATGAACCGCTGCCCACGTCGGTCGACATCAGGGAGGCTCCAATCTGGAACAGGGCACAGGGATAAAACCGAGACAGTCACTTTGAGGAATCTCTATCAACCCAAGAACTTCCCCACAGAAAGTCTTTCCCCAGGATCTCATCTCCTTGTGCTTAGGCAGCTGGGTTTTCCGTCACCCCTCCAAAAAACCCACATTTTTATATATTAAAGCATGTTCCTGCTCCTTTCCACTGCCCCCACTCCAGTGCAAAGCTTAATCTCAGAATCAGGACTCACTTTGCCAGTGGTTCTGAGAAGCACACCTGTTACAGGGGCACAGCAGAGGGCGGGGAGTCTGGTGGCACCACAGATTCCTCAGTGTCCATGAAATGTGGTGGATTTCTCCATTCCCTTGTTAGGCAGAGAGCAAGGTGCCATCTCTGACCCTGCTGACCCTTGCTCTTGCCTCCCCATGTCTTGCAATTTAATATCAGATCTTAGCTGAGGCTATTTAATGCACAGCTGAAATCTGTCACTCTCATAAAAACAATAATAAATGCAGATAAGCCAGTCATGTACTCAAGGTGAAGGCCACAAGGAGCTGAGCCTGCAGGAGAGCTGCAGAAATGGAATTAGTTCTTACAAACAAATCTGGGAAGTGAACAGCATTAGAGGTTGCTCTGAATCTAAAAGAGTTCAGAAGAGGCAAGAGCTGACCTGTACCAAACAACCTCTGCAGCCACCTGTTGTGGGAGCCAAAAGCAGTGAGGATGTTTTGGGATTTGTCTGGGGGATTTTTTTAATAGAAAAAAAAACAACAAAAAACAGAAATCTTGTTTAAAAGAACAAGACTGAGGTAAAAATATTCAATTTTAATATATTTTAATTTTTTCCCTCCTAATTAGAGAAAACCATCAAACTTAGCTTTTGCATTAAATGTTACTTGGCTGAGACAGAAGTTTAAAGAACATTTAAGAAATGACAGATTTTAGAGAGGTGTATGTGTCTCTGGTGGAAGAGGCTGAAAATCTAGCCTAGTGAATTTATGGGCAATGCACGGCCAAAGGAAAAAAAGAAAAAACCTGTTTTGGTTGAGAAGTGCATTCCGTTACCCACAACTCACTGGAGAGATATATGGTTCTAGAGTCTGGCATTGGCTGAGAAGAATCTTTATTCCTGTGGTGGTTTTACTCCTTTCCAACTCTAAATTATCTTTATATGTACCTTTCACTCCCAAAAAAAGGCGCCTTCAATAGATTATTTTTTCTTTCACAGTGAAGTTTATACTTCAGTGGTTTGAAGTTTATATCCTTAACATCGTTAGTCAATAAACTCAACTCTGCTCTAAATAGCAAGGGCTCAAAGTCCTGAGATTAGGGATTATTTTTAATTCAGTGTTTAAATGCTCTTTACTGGATAACACATTCCTAGATTACCTAATGCTCTCTTGACATGGGAACATCAGTGGTGAGTGAGTTCAAGCCAAAAAGTTTCCAGCCCAGCTAGGCCGCCAGCATTCCCCAACTTTCTTCAATGGGAACATTTTTATTTCTGACTTTAGCAGAGAAACTGGGAGTTGGAAAACCCTGAAGGTGCTGAACTACCCTTTTGGCCTGGCAGCTCCATGCTGCAGCCCACTGGAAAAGATGTGTGGGATGATTCCTTATGGATCTTTCATCTGTCCTCTCCATCTCAAAACTACAGTCAGAACATATAAAGGCTGGGTCCCCTCACCAGACCTACTCTCACACCTGGAATTGCTTTCAAACCATGAGAAACAGAGAGAAGCATTTCACTCACAGGCCACCAAGACATGGATCGTCCAGCCAGAAAATATCCTCCAACAGTGCCCCGGCTCGCTCGTACCGATGACTGGAAGCACAGGAAAAAGAACAGGAAAAAGTGTTTTCCTCCATTCACCCTCCTTGAGTCAGACCAAGCCAGGAGAATCCTTAGTGCCTGCCCTCAGCACCAGCTCCAAAATAGTTTTATGGATCTGTTAAATATGCCAGGCTTCACACACTGCTTCTGCCCCTTTTTGTGCAGGCTTCTGACAGTCGTGCTTTGGAAAGAAACTGCTTGTCCCTGTTTAATGACTTCTCCCTGGATGTACCAACTGGGAAAGAAAAAACAGCTCAGCCAAGCAGAACACAGTAGGTGGCTGTAACAGAGGCCTTCGCCAAACAACACGAACAAATCATTAGCAAAAATCTTTCCAAAGTTTTTAAGGTCCCATTTTAGTCTTCTCCAGCACAACCATGGCTTTTCTTTTGCCTCCTGCCTGTCCACACCCAGATGTGAGACTGCTCTGCAGCACAGGAGCCAAGCATCATTCCCAGAACAACATCCAGGGAGTGATCCCACAGTTGTCCCCATGTGAGATGGAACTGAAGGCTCACAGAAGGATTCCTGTCACTCCCAAATTTGCTCCCATAGGCCCTGGGAGAAGCTGTGCAGAGGATGCCATTTGCAGGCAAACCCCTTTGAGGAGTCCAGGGAGCATCAAAGCCTCTCTGGCTCAGGCAGACCCAAACCCAGCCCCCTCAGGGACTCACCCATATCCCAACAGCGAGGATAAAGGCAAAGTACAGAACCACCACGACGATGTCTGCCACTGCAAATGCTGCTGCCTTGTCCCCTGGCAGCCCAGGCAGCTCCGTGGTGGCTGTGGTCTGCTGGCTCATGGCTCTGAGCAAACTGATGGTTTTCTCCCTCACGCTGGACTTAAATGCACGTTGGCCTTCATCATTTCCCTTGTAATAATTAACAGGCCACTCACACAAGGTGTGAGTGGGGAGCAGAGGCCAGGCAGGACTGTGACTAACATGTTTCAGCAGGAGCTTGGTCTCCATGGCTCATCAGAAAGAGCCACCACACAGCTCTGTGGTGTAAGGATTCCTCCCATTCCCCCTCGTGTCCATTTACCAGTGGTCCTTTCTCCTGCCCATTTACCCACTGGTGACACCCACTGGGATGGTTCTGCTTGGAGATCTGCCTGGAGAAGGCTTGTGCCCCACAGCCAGCTCTGGAATGGCTCTGCCAGCCCCAGTAGGAGCCTTGTGTCCCAGGACCTGGGCAGGAAGGAGGAGAGGGCTGGATCCCATGACATATCAAACTGTGAACCCAGATGCTCAGCAGGGACATTTCTCATCCTGGTTTGCAGACAAGGTGGGCACCCTCCAGCACAAGCCCCCTGAACCAGGGCACAGAGAGTGGGTCACACCAAACCTCTCCTCCTTCATTGGGACAGCTTTGGGAGGATCATGAAAGGTTCCTACTGGGTCTGGAAGAGCCCTTCCAGAGTCTTCTCCAGGCAGACCCCAGACCTCAAAGCAGAACCATCTCCTACATCCCCCAGCCTCACCCTCTCTGGCCCCTCACCCCATGACATATCACATGGGACATTTTAAGCGTAGGTGAGCTGTGCTTGATCTTGGTTTCAAGGGAGGCAACAAAATCTCTCCCTCTCGCTTTGTTTTATTCCCTTCTCTCCCAGATTTTTCTTGCAAACGCTGGCTACCTTCTTGCTCATTAATTGCTAACATGAGGCCCACATCCACCCCTGCTCCCCAGACTGAGGCTCCCCAGGAGCAGTGCCTCCCTATAGGCTCATTATCCACAAGAGGCTTTTCAAAACTGAAATGTTTCAACAAGCTGAAGTACAGTTACTAGAAATTAAATATCTGGAAGCTAAATCCCCTGGTATAAACAGGCAGCTCTCCCTGCACAGAGCTGATTTACACTCACCCACACACTTCTCCCTCTTAACACCTCAGCACCTGAAAGCAAAAGACAGTTGCCTAATCCTAACATGCATTAAATACCTGCCCAAGAAGCAAACAGTATCTCCAGTCTTCCCAAACCAGGAATGCTCCTCCACATGGGAAGCCCAAACCCCAAGTACATGCCTGACCTAGGCATTCACCCCACCTTCCCACACTGCTGTATTTGCAGCAACTAATACTTGAAAACACTTGAAATACATCCAATATGCCATTCCCAGCAGCCATGAGCTACCACGAGTCCATTGGACACACTGGAATGACACAGGCTGACAGCAGTAGGATGTTGTCAGGTGTTATTACACAGCCTGGATCATCAAAACTGCAGTGGCCAGCCCAGCTGCTGGGCAGGATTGCAGCAGCTGCACCTCAAACATGGATGACACCTTGAGTGCTTTTGTGGCAGTCCTTTCCTCGCTGCTCCATCCTGTTCAGGCAGGAGTTGCTCTGCTCCCCACTCCCAGGACAAGATGCAGGGGAGTTCTCCTCCCTAGGGATGAGACCAGTGTCCCTGCCCACAGCCAAGGGAATAACACATCCTGCTGTTATGTGGCTGCCCTGCCTTGCAGCCCCGGGCAAGAAGCAGGTGCACAGTGCAGGGTCCCAGCAGCAGGGCAGTGCTTATCTCCCACCCCATGCACTGCTTGGTCAGCACTGGGGGCCATGCACGCCCAGGAGATACAGTGCTCCTTGTCCTGGGTACAGATGTGATAGTTCATGTGCTCAGGAGACAATAAAAATTCATCTCACTGACAAACAAACGAGCAGCCTTGCAGTGAAAGATGTGTCAGCAGCATAAGCCCAGCACGTGTGATTTGGATCTCTGTTGATTCAGAGGGTGGCAAACTCTGTCTCCCACTTTTCTCCAGGGACCTCGAGTGTGCAGGTTACCTGCTGCAGGAAACCCACCCTCCCCAGCTGGCAGGCCATGAAGGCAATGCTGAATTTTGCTTGCCCAAAGTGAAGGAATGAGATGGTTTATGTTACCTGTGCTGGTGGGAGTGGTGGTGGCAGCAAAAGAGGTGCTGACAGAGATGGGAGAACCAGTGAGCACAGGGGACAAAGCCATCCCCACAGTGTCACCCATGGCAGGATCAGGTGCTGGCAGAGGTGTTGGCTGCACTCATGGGGGCAATTGGCACAGAGAGCTGAGGAATACAGATCTTCATCCTTTCCCCATTCTTCCCCTCCTGAGACACCACTCCTATACCTTCCAAAAACCATTCCTCCTCCCTCCAGGACTCACCTCCTGGTGCATGCCTGGCCTTATGGAGTCTTTTTGCTGTCTTGGTGAAGGCTGAGAGCAGGGCTATCAAACAGGGGGGAGAAGACAGCCCCTGAAGCTCACATGGTATTGCTGGGGCCACCCTGTCTCTTTGCCAGAGACAGCCCCATTGTCACCAAGGCTGCATCCATGGCTCCTCCCAGCCCTGCTGTGGTGCCCAGCAGAGGTGTGGGGCAGGCTGCACAGTTGCAGCAGCCCTGTAAAACCCAGTTTCAGCAGTACCTGGGAGCTGCAGCCAGACCCTGCAGCACAGTGAATACACTTTCCTCTCCTTGCAGCAGAAGTGACAGGACATTTAGTGTCCCCTTGTGGGGTGTTCACCCTCACTCCTGTCACAGAGGCTGAGAACGAGCCCTTCAGGGACTGGAAATTGTAAGTGGCGTTTCAAAGAGTGCAGCTCTGAAAAAATAAAAAGGTGCTGAAGAGCAAGTGTTTCTGGGGCAAGGGATGTTCGGTGGAGTGACAGGCAATTATTTTCACAAATGTTAACGAATAAATGGACATCCTCTTCATTACCAAGCTACTTCACAGTCATCAGCAAATAGTTCCAATGACAATTAGTGAATTTCTAAATGGATTGAGAAATTGGTTTGTACACAGATACGGATGCAATGAGGTGAGGTGATAGCCCAGCCTCACTCCTTACCTTTCCTCCTGAGGGATTTTCCTGTGTGCTGAATGGGTGAGGCATTCAGCTAACCATTATTTTCTTCTCAGCTCTTTCTCGGGGGAACGGCTCTTGAATGAAATCCAGCAGTTTAATTTTGGTGTGATATGAATGGGCTTTGAATGTATTTAATGTTTAAAGGCAGCTATTCAGCTCGGAGCCTGCTCCAGAGGAACAGCGGGAAGCAGAGCAGACCCCCGGGAAGCACAGCGGTGCTACCACAGCTCTTTTCTTCCCTCTGCAGGCCACACTCTGATTTTCACTCCTGGGCTGTTCCATAAACCTGGAGGCAGTCCATCACTTCAAGACTGCTTGAAAACAGTACTTTTGTTTGTTTGTTTTACCGGGGTGAGTCAGGGACACCTGTGCTGAGATAAAGGGATAAAACCAGGGATTTTATCCCTGTCTCACCTGTGCTGAGACAGGGATAAAATACCATGCAGAGGAGCCAGGAAAGGTGCTGGATTCAGTGGGAACCTCAGCACCTTGTCAGGCTGCTCTGATCCCTGCCACATCAGGGGGAAGCTCACAGCTCTGTGTGCTGGAAACTGCTCCTCTCCAGTCCTGGAGATGGGCAGAGCTCCCTGTGCAGGTGGTGTGGACTCAGTTCCAGCCATGCAATGCAAGTGAGCTCCCATAGGATGAGCTTCCCATGTCTGGGCTCCCTTGGCAGGGAGCTGGGAGCGTGGATCTCTCCCAGCAAGTGGCACTGACCATCTCTTACCCCCTCCTCACTCTCTCCCAGAGATCATCTGTAGCACTGTGGGTCCATAACCCTGGCATCTGCCTGTGGGCCAAGGACAGCCTTGACACACAGCACAGTTTCAAGTTACCACACAGCTTTTGCTGCATCTAAGTGAGATTAGTGAGAGGAGACACCTTGGGCTAAACGTGGTGTTACCAACCAGCCAGTCCAGGATGAGGTGGACTACTAAGAGTGGGGTCTCATCCTGGCTGTCTTTATCCAGACAACTCATTTGCTGCCCCAAACAAGGGCTTGCACCTCCCTGCTCAGCTGAACAACCTCCTTTGACTTCCCCTTCCATCCCCACACATCCCACTGGGAAACTTCTGTGACTACTGGGAAATTAAGGTGAAAAGACACAGAAGGAGTTTTAGGTCACACTTCCAGCCATAGCTGCCTAGAAGAATCATTCTAGGACCAAGCAGACTTAGGCTGGAAAAAATATGTCACATTTACTGAGTGACTTTTTTGACTAACAGCCAGACTTTGAAAAATATTAGCAAGGGTAAAACATTAAGTGACAGAACAAGGACACTTTAGATGAAGGATGTTGTTCTCCCTTTAATTTACTCCCCTCTACAGCCTTGCAAAGATCTCAGCAGAGTAAGTGTCCTTATTGATGGATACACTATCCTTGTTAAGATGGGACAATATACTTATTTACAGCTTTCATCATTGTCATGAAGGCACAAAGCAAACAGATATAACTAATGAAGATTTAGCTGTTACATAATGTCTTTGCCAACTCTATGCAGAAGACTGGGTAAAAACCTGGAAATAAATCTTTTTATGAGAGCATTTTAAAATGAATTTAAGACATGAAGAGATGTATTTGTAGTTTGTATTAAGACTCTGAGTATTGCTTTCCTGGAAAGATGTCTCAGGTTTGGAGTACAAATGAAGTGATGGTCTGAGAAACACCAAGGAAGTGAAAGTCACATCAGCCCTACAATCCAAGCAGTGAATTAGCACATTCATGGTGATGCTCCGTGGTAAAGGTGGTGTGAGCTCTAAATAAGTAAATTGGTACCACCAGCAGGATGCAGACTCAGTAATAAAGGATCAACAAGCAGAAGAGATGGAGCAGATGCAGTAAAAGCTTCTTCACTTCATTTGATACTCTCTAGGTCCCTCTGGAGATGAGACCAGCCATGGGGGAGCAACTCCTGGTGGCTGGGACAGTAATGCTCCACAGCACAGCAGGCAAGGTAATGCTTTCACAGCTCCTGCAGGAGCACGTGTGGTACTACAGGAACAAGCAGATCCCTTTGGTATTCTCCTGAAAT